TGGGGCCGCCGGGGCACAGCCGGGACAACCCTCCTCAGCGGCGCCCCGCACTCCCGCCGAGACGCAGGACGCAGCCCGGAGTGTGACCCCTGTAACCAGCGTGGCACAGGAGTTGGAAAGCCCCAGACTGATGAGTGGGGGAACTAAAATCGTGGTGGTGGTTTGGGGGATTCTCATTCTATTAGAGGTGACGGCTTTACGGCACGTTGTACTGCCTCTCTCTCAGCCCCTGATGAACAGCTCTTGCCCCGCTGCAGATAAATGACCGTGTGGTGATCCCCCTTTCCGACCGGGTTTGCTCAAAAGGCTGCGAGACTCGGGCTTGTTTGGGTTGTACCTTACAGCACCTTCCAGTACCTGAAGGGGCTACAAGGGAGCTGGGGGGGACTTTTTACAAGGGCCGGTAGTGACAGGACAAGGGGTAACGGGTTTAAATTGAAAGTGGGGAGGTTTAGATTAGATATCAGGAAGAAATTCTTCATGGAGAGTGTGGTGAGGCACTGGCACAGGTTGCCCAGAGAAGCTGTGGATGCCCCATCCCTGGAAGTGTCCAAGGCCAGGCTGGATGAGGCTTTGAGCAACCTGGTCTAGTGGAAGGGGTCCCTGCCCATGGCAGGGGGGTTGGAACTGGATGGGCTTTAAGGTCCCTTCCAACGCAAACCATTCTGTGAAAAATTGCTTACTCAACTGCTTTAAATATTCCAGATAAAAGCAGAGCAGTTATTTTCAGTTCACTTCCACAGAAACAGAAGGTGTGGCCCCTGCTCCAGAAGCCTGCATGACTCAACAGTTGCTGCTGTTGGGGTTGGGTCCCCCCCGGATACACATACGCAGCTGCGGTCCCACACAGGCGTTGGTTTTGTGGCTGTTCATCAGGAAAGGTAAGCAGCAGTAACAGGAGTGAGTGCTGGAAACCGGCTGGTTACAGCTCAGGAATGCAGGGGTAAGGGTGCGACAGTCTCCTAAATCAGTGCCATAAAATGGTCACGGGGTAAAACCAAAATCCTGTCATTTCAGGAGGAAAAAAGCACAGTCCTGTGCTACCGGTTTGCAGGGCTGTTCCGCCATCAGCAGCCGGCGAGCCCGACCCTGGCAGAGAGAACAAGCGGACTGAGGCCTCCAGCGTGTCATACCGCGGGTTCACCAACAGCAGATGCAGCTTTCCGCAGCCCCTGCACAGGTGAGTCTGGCCTGTACGTAAGGCAAGAGAGCATTGCACGGCTTTTCGGGGACAGGGAGGCGTCCGTGGCATCACAGTTCACGGAAGGATACCCTCTGGTTTCTGCTGGAACCTTCCAGCTCCCCAGCAATGACAGCATACCAGGGGTGCAGTTTTCCATGCTGGGCCGTTTCACGAGATGCGGTGACTCTGACTCACTACCCTTTGGATGCTGTTTAGTGGAGCGTTACTGGCCTTAAGGCTGTTGGTCAGTTTTTAAACCAACCTCTTCCCCCACTCAACACACACAAAGCTGTGCTTTGTCAGAGCGAGCAGGGACAACAAAGCTAACGGGAGACTTGTCTCATAGACTTCCTCGTCTAGTAGTAACTAAGATGTAACTCAAGGCAGCCGTGTGCAGGTGACATTTTAAGGGCTCTGCCCACATTTCCCCCACTGGCTCGCTGACAGGAGCAGCTCTGTGCCTGTCCCTGGCTCACACTCTAAGCCTGGATGTGTTGCTGTTCCATCAATCCGTGTCCCGTCGGGCAGGCTGTGCTTCAGGAACCTGCTACCCCGTACCCTCGGGTGCTGCGGGTGAGCAGTGCTGCCTGCAGCAGCTGAGCATCACCGTACCGGGCCGAGGTACCCAACAGCAGCGTGTAAGGGAGCGCTGTAAGACACTGTGTAGTGGTACCCGCACGAGCAGCACCTTCGTCACGCCGTAACGCGAACGCCCCGAGTGTACTTCTTCCACCACAGCCACACAGCTGTTATGGAACTTTGACCTCCAGTAACCCCAAAGAAACCCCTCTGCAGAGACGTCAATTAATTCAGAAATGTAAAGGACTGTATTACTTTATTAAATAGCCAGTTCTAAAGAACAGTAAAAAACACGGAAACATGCATCTTTTGGTGTTCTTAAAAAACATTTGTCCAAAACAAAGACCGTTAGAAAAACTAAACTTGAGTTTAGCCCCAGTACGCCTGCTCGCCGCATAAGGGACGCGGGGTGGTTATAAATACTGTCCCATCGCCTTCAGCAAAGTGTAACAACGTATACATTAGTATCGCTACTACAGTTTTTCACATTCCTCCTGTAAACATCATCAACTACACCAAGGCCGTGTTAGCAAGCTTAGGGAACCGCTGCTCTCCTGTACAGTAAATACAAATAGGAAGATCCTGGATTTTCCTGCCATTCTCATCAGCACTCCTTTACCCAAACATTAATGATTTCAATTAGTATAAAAACATAACCAGAGAATAAATGTCTGAGAAGATGCAGTATTTGAATGAGTCTTAGTTAACAGGCGAACAAACCGCTGAAACTTCCAAGGCTGAAGGTCTTCTGCTCTGCCGAGACGCAGGTCTGACAGCGCTGGGCCAAGTACCCGGGGTTATCCGTCTGAAACTGACACTTCTTCCCTAAAAACTTAGCTGAACTAAAAGCAGGTGCTGAGATGGCTGTCCGTGTTCGGGGTACAGCAACGCCCAGCGCGTCACGCCGGCGGGCACCCGCTCTTCGGCAGGGGGACGGTTCTCGCGGCGTCTAGGACCGGGCAAGAACACAGTTTTACCCAGCGCGACCAACGTGTCCAGTGCGGGAGATGCGCACCGCAACATCACACCTGGCCCTTTTCCCTATGGAAACGGAAGGAACCGGCTTTGGCCCTGGAGAGGATTCTGAGGCAGCGCAGCAGCTACCTGGGAAGCTAGAAACACCGATGTTATTTTACTGGCAGGAATTAATTGTTTTATAAAGCAGTATCACTACACCGTTACCATTTTTATCTAAAATTAGGTGGTCTAATTTAGTTTCCTTTTTGCATTTTTTTTAATCTGGCCTGCGATGACAAGCAAGACAGAAGCGCCATGTCTGAAGCAGCCATAATCGGGTTTCTCGCGCTAACGCAGCCCTGGTGCGGGCGAGCGCTGGCCCGTTTGTGCCATCGTCTTCCGCTCACCGGCTCTACAAACCTGTCAGCCAGAACCGGGCCTTTTCAGGCTGTGAAGAGAACTCTCCCGGGCCTTTTGGCACTGCTCAAGTATGAGAATGATCTCGCACAGCTACTTTTGCCGAATGTTTCATGGCAGCACTTTGTACGTGCCTATTTCCAGTTCTTTTGTCTGAATTCCTGCAGCAGAGGCAAACTGAGCACAAACCCCGAGCAGCCGGCAGGTGCCCCGTGGGGCCAGTCTACCCTCGCTACGGGAGAGCGTCTGAGCACCGTGCGACGAGCAAACAGGCACAGAGCAAAAGTGAAAGGAGTCGATGGGAGGGAAGGTAACGCTCCACCTCGGAGCTGGACAGAACCTCTGGGACTGATGGTTTAAGTGACACTGAGCCAATGAAACAGCTGCTTCCCTGGCTTTTTGGGATGAAGGTGATGCTGCTCGATCAGTTAGACGCTGTCAGATTGTTACAGGCTAGTATGGAAACAACTCTGTCCCAAGCTATGTTTAAATAAAAATCTTCAGTTGTGAAGTTTTATACAAAAGAACAGAATTTCTGGAAGCGTGAGGGGAAACTGCAGGTACTGTCAGACGCCACCTACTGCGATTACTGAGCTCTGAGGAGGCACTTTATGTGGTGAACAGTCCTTCCTTTGTGGAAAGGCCCAACCTGCTGAGCAAACTACGACCTTTGTAAGCGAGAAGCTGCTCTGTGCGAAGCAGAACGAAGGAAGGCGGGCTTCTATCCACCCACGTCAGCTACCGTCGTTACTCCGACGTGGCTTTTTTCCCCTTCCAGCTCTTTTGTCTTTGCTCGAGTTCAGCTTCAGTGAAGGCGGCTGGGCCCCAGTTGGTGATTAAGTGGGGGTTCTTGGAGCCTGGAAGACAGAGTGCAGTACTTGAAACGGGCCTTTCCGCCAGGGACGTCCCTCGCCCACCATCAGCAGGACAGGCCGATCCAGTAAGTGCTGCTTCTTCTGCGACTGGAAACTCCAAGGTGACCTGAGGAGCTGCCTGACCGAGGGGGGCAGACTGCCTGGGACACTGTCAGTGAAGGGGCTTAGTGCGAGACGGTGTCCCCTGCTGCAGTCTTCTGCATCCTTATCCCCCCGCCAGCCCCCCGAAATAGGTGTGTCTTAGTAACCCCTCTTCGTCTTGCCCTGAGAGATGGCCTTGAAGGAGAGCGCTCTCTCCAGCACGGCATTACAAAGGCACTTCCCTCTGGGCTGGCCTGCTGTTAATTAAGCTCAGAAATTAAACTTTTCCCAAAAATGTAATATTTTTAGCTATCTTTACTTCACATTTTTGGCAATGAACATTTATGCCAACTGCACTGAACAACCAACCCATACAACGCTCAGGTCAATCCTGGGTTTGTTTAAAATAAACAAACAAACAGTTATAATGATTTAAACATTAATTATTATAGCATGGCCAGAAGAGGTAAAGACCTGAAAGCTACCACCGGCAGTTCTCACAGGTGTGGTGTGTACAGGCTGCTGTGAAACCCACGAGCTAAGGAAGGGGCAGGCTTCAGGCAGTCACGAGGTGATGGAAGTATATGAGCCAGAATGAATACCCATGTCTTTCTAACTTACCTGGCTCTATCAGTCGAATTAATCCCTCATGATGAGCTACTTTGTCTTTCCAGCTCTTGGTGTTGTTAGCTGCTGTTTCCAACTTCTTCTTAACCTCCTGAAACAAGATACAGCCCATGTGAAAACATGAATTCTATGAACAACTTCGTTTATATAAAAAGCAAAAGCATCCTTTGAAATCGAGAGAGAACCATACTAATTGAGCCAAATGGTGTCGACAGAACTTCCTTTCTAACCACCCTGAGTAACTGGTCATTCGGTACCTGTATCAACATAAGCTGTCACACTGTAAGCCCAAAATAACTAGGTTTTACAAGATTCTGCAGCTGCCTAAGTAGGGCTAGTCTTCATGAAAATTGAAAGCATGAACTGTAGTTTCAAAACAGAGATGCGTTTTCTGTTCCAAATGAAATTTTTCAATTCCAAACGGCCAGAATCTGTAATTATTTCTAAAATAAGGAGTCAGCTATCGCAGTGACTACTCGTCGTTTGTTTTGTGGATTTCTTTTTTCATTTGCTCACAGGGTGTTTATGGCTGTTGTATTCAGCAATTCCTTTGGAGCAGTAAATGATGTTTCACATACAAAAAGCCTGCGATGTCACCTAAAAAAGAAGGCCTGTATTAGCCACAAGCAACCTAAGGATGGTGTTAGAGGCAAACACCAACGTGGTAAGTTGTAAAGCGGCCAAACTACCCCACTGAGCCCTCGCTTGCTGTCACTGCAGCGTTTGTACTCAGTGCCAGTGCAGACAGCCCACTACCTGCGAGCCAAACAGCAAACCTCCACGGCACCGAGGCGGCATAAGCACGCTCCCTTATTAAACACAAATCCGGTCACGTTCTGCTTCCTGACCTAAATACACGCAGGATCAACACCTCCCTAGCCCCAGGAGGTGTGCAGCACTCTGTACTCACTGGATTCTGACTTACTTCCTCCATGAACACAACTACTGGTCTGCACCCAAACCACTCGGCAGCGCAGAGAACAGGCCTGGCCTTTGGGACGTGAGGCACCACCGCGCAGGGACAATCTGAGCTAGTTCCTAGCTTCCCCTGACATCAGTTCAGTGCTTAAATACCTTTTGGAGGAGCAAGGGCCTACAGCAGCACGTTGATTTTTCATCTACAGAAGACAATATTGCCCCATGACACCATCAGAATGCTGCAAGAATAACCAATTCAAAAGCAGGAGGCGTTCAGTTACGACCGTAACGGGGCTACGGCGCAGTCAGTCTGCGGTAGGAGACAAGTGCGTGCAGAGTATTTCAGGGTCTGACAGCTGGCTTGCATGAGCACGGGGACACAAGGATAAAGGAGGTGGTGTGTCTGAAACACGTCCTCTTCAAATACACCTACTGTCTGGGCCCAAAACCCCTAACGCGTAACTATCCTACCTGCTGTTGTCGTTTTGTGCCATGCTAGTCCTTGAGGAAGCACGACACGCTGAGCCGAAGTACTGCACACCTGCTCTAAGTACGAGAGCCTGAGGAGCAGAGCAGCTCACCTCATACTGCTCAAGGGCCTCCTTCCTTTCCAGTTCAAGTTGTTCCAGTTGCTGCATAGCGACCTGAAGAGCCCGTTCCTTTATCATTCTCTGGTTTTCTAGCTCTTGCTTCTCCGCCTCGGTCATCTGAATGGTCTGCTGCTGCTGCAAGTGCCACTTCTCCAGTTCAGCTCTCTTTGCCGACTCCTCTTCCAGTAACCTGCAACAGGGACCGCAGCGTTAACTGCGCTTCGCAGCGAGCTCTCTCTGTGATGTAGTGTACGTGTGGGGAAGCCAAGCTGATTATTTTCTTTCCTTTTTTTTTTTTAAATACCCAGGAAAGCAGGGAAAAAGTTACTGCTTGTTGGCTTGTCGTCAGTGTAAAGTGGAAAATCACGCCAGCAGCACCAGCAGTCTGACTGCTACAAAGGGCTTTTCAGGAAATTTAGTCAATAATGCAAATACTCAGCACTGAAAACCACAGAAGAAACAACCGTGCACCAGTTACCTTAGGAGGAGCAAATATATGAAGAAACAAACCACACTAAACCAAGCCCATGAGAGTAGGAGGAGACTTAACCCTTTATCAGTTAAACCTCTGATAAAATACAGCAGAAAGCCGTAGTTACAGCTGCTGCTTTATAAAACACAACTGAAAATTCTGTACAGAGTGATCTCGGGTTTTCAAGTGCTGACATGCGCACGATCGGGTGAGAAGTAAGTGTGTCTGCTCTTCTGAAACTGCCGAGCGTTCCCACTGCTAAGGGCTAATCAAACGTCTTAAAAATCAGAAATACCAGCTTTAGCCTAAGGGAAAGGAAAACCTCCCCTGGGACTTCAGACGAGTTCCCCCTTTCCAGCAGCGTGTCCAAGACCCAACAATCTTCACTACTGTGTTTGTTACTGCGGGGGGTGGGGGGGAGTGGGGAACGCAAATAAACCTCTACTAGGTCAAAGCTGTACCTGGCTTGAAGTTTCCTTACAGTCTCTTCATCCTGACGTGCCTGTTTCTCATCCTCCAAAGCTTCCTGTAGCTGCTTGTACATTTCCTCCAGTTCACGTACTCTCTGTAAATACTGTTCCAGTTCAGACGACTTCTGAGCAACCTGCTCTTCCATTTTTTGTCTCACCTAGCAGCATAAAGGGAGGACACATGAGCTACCATTCAGCTCAGGTTTCCAATCTCTGAAGGAATTGCTTTAGAGGCTTTTTTGCAGAAAATGTTTTCAGAAACAAACCCTTTCCTGCTGCCCGCAGAGCAAAACCGAGTCTAGATTTGCAGATGTGTAACCAAGAGCATTTGAAAACAGACAGGCTGGTCACTCACGCTGCCCTACATGCAGCACAGGGCTTTTACAGGGATTTAAACCTAACTTCAGTCAGTTTGAACTTGTTGCTGAGTTTACAAATACACACTAAACCGAAGGAAGAGAAAGCCTGTGGAGTGCCCAGAAACAAAGGTCAGGCTGGTTTAATTGTGTTGTTTCTGCTCCTCTCCTCAGGCCGGTCCTCCCTCGGCAGCATTGAGTTCACACGCTTACATCTGGGTGACGGCACCGCAGCAGCACAGGGGGGATGAAGGGGTGGACATCGGCTAAGGCTAGCTTTGCCAGGAGAAGAGCAACTCAACGCAAATCAAAGGTAAGGCAGAGAGGAAGGTGAGGGGACGTTGCACATCCCCAGTCACCCACTCTCTCATCCTCCTTACCCCTTTCCCTGACCAGAGCAGGAAGCCAGGGGCACAGTGGCACCAGAGCCCTCTGCCCAGTCGGCCCCGCGGTGCTTGGGACGGCGGCAGTCAGCTGGCGTTGCACCTGGTCAGGATAAAGCTCCAAACCCTCAGCATCCCGCAGCACAGGACACGCGCTTCGCAGAAGGTAAGCGCAGCTCCTCGCCCCAGCGCCCAAGGCTTGCTGCCAAGAGGGCACGTCCCGCTCCTCTGCTCTGCGGCCTGCCTTCCCCCAGCTGACCCGGACCCGCTGGCCTTCAGGAATTCACGTTCAGCCCACAGGCAGCACCGCATGCATCTGCATCCCGAGACATCCCATCGCATCCACCCCACTATTCCACTTCTTTTCTCCAGCTGACAGAAAAGCCTGACAAAGCCCTGGAAGACTGAACATCAGTTCTTTTGGAAATTCTCAGTGTGGATTATAGTAACAGCACTGTAAAGCTACAATATTTCTTTAATTTTTTGTTTGTGTGTAAAAACACAGGATTTTAAAAAAGGTGATAGTTTTAGGAATCCGTTCCAGTCAGAAAATCTCCAAAATGCATTTTGATCATGCCTGTGTTTGTTTAGCACACTCTTATAGTATGTACACACTCTTATTCTATGTACCAGCCTCAGGTTCTCCATCTTTTAAAACTGCAAGGATAACTGCTGTCTGCATTTATCTTTCAAACAGTCACATTTTTCCCTATTTTCCATTAATATCTAAACATTAAATGCTACAAAAATGGTATACAAATATTTTAACCCAGTAGTAAAAATATTTCAACAACAGAGGCTGCAGCCTCCTGGACAATCCGCAGAACCCTTGCAGTGCCTGCCTGCGAGGAAGTCGCTGCGTTGCTCACCGTGTGATCGTAGCAAAAACCCACATGCACCACTCACCATTTTTTCTCTCTCCAGCTCCAAACTGAAGCGATCCTGTAACTCGACTTGAGTCTGAAGTCTTTTCTTCTCTTCCTCAGCAGCACGAGCAGCTGCTGCTTCCAGTTGCTGGAAGAGAAGGAAAAATTAATTTGTCAAAACTAAAACATTTGGAGGGAATAGAATGTTATTTAACAATTTTTGCTTTTGACAAAAATGGACGAAAAGTATTAAGGCACCAACTTTTTTAATGTCTGAGGCTATTCTCAATCTCTAAATACAGTTTTTCATCTTGTTATTTTCAAGACAGGTTTAAATTTACCAATGAGAAGTTAATTATCAGACTTCCTCCAAGTTTCCTTTGAGTTCTGCCTTGCACAACATGTAAATCGCTGTGTTTCCTTCTCTCTCTCAGATGAGATAGAAAACTGTTATGGAAAACCACATCGCAGGCAGTTCCACCAGTGAAAACATGCCAGCATGCACAGAGTTCACACACAAACAGAAGTGAGAAGCATTAAATTGCCATGGGAAAGCAGAAGTGCCACAAACTGACTATAATAAGTGATTGTGCTGCCGTGAATCACATCCCTCTAACATCCCCTAAATTGCCATGTAAGGTAAATGAAATTCGAGTTGATGATCATCACTTGAAATTAGGGGGAAAATCAGCCTGGTCAGAGCGAAGGCGTAGGAAACAGCTGCTGGTACCCTCACGCCTTGCTGCCACTCACTTAACCTTTTCCTCTTGATTCCAGGTATAAAGATAGTCGTCACAGCTCTTCCCTTCACCAGGATGTCAACAGCACGTATTTTTAGAATGCACAGAAGGTTACAAATGTACAAGCACCAACCAAAACTCTACCATTACTAAAACCAAAGTAATTCTTTCACAGAGTTTTCCTAAGAAACTTATGCTTCGGGGGAAACAGAAAGCCAGCACCCTTCTTTTGTAATGCGCCAGGCTGGTGATGCTGTATCCGCAGACCTTCCGCACGAGCAGGACACCCATCTTCCTCAGTACTTTGGGAAGGTACCACACTTAAATCTTCCCTCACGCAATGAGGATGAACTAATGAGACGCCTGAATGATCAGAACTGCCCCTCCAAAACTTGAATTCCTGTAAGTGCTTGTGATACCACTCCAGTGTGAAACAGATGGGAAGAAGGGTGGGAGAAGGCTCCCCGTTTGTTTTCAAGCTGCAGAAGGCAGCACAGACTTGCTCTCCGCTCTCCTCTGACAGGCTCAAACGAACCCAGTCTTTTAGAATTAGCGTTCCTCCTCTGCCAGAACATTTAACAGCGTGCAATTGGGGTCCAATCCAAGATGTATATTTAAGTGACTCTCTTTTGATTTCCCTCCCCGCTTTGAAATTAAACAAACATTGCCAACAGCGAGCCAGGAGGGCGAACGTGCGGAGTCACAGCAAGGGTGGGTGCTAGGCTTCTGCCAGGGAGCTCAGCAAGAAAGCAGAGTTTGTCCATTCTTTATCAGCAACTTCCTGCTTAATTCACATCGGAGGACATCCGTTCCTGGCAGGTAAGGCTCCTGGCATCAACTGTGCCATTTAGGGAAAAGTCCCAGATGCTGATAGAGGGAGGGAGGGGGAGGCAAGGGGAACACACCATTCCGGCAGGAGTTAATTAGCACAGTCTCTGAACCCATGCAAGACCCCAGACTGAAACCGAAAGGGTGCACTAGTCTCGTGCATGCTCTCCTGGGAAGAAAAACTTACCTTCCAGTCCCTTCAATGTGTGTATCTCAAGGTCCCATTAAAAAATATGAAAAAAAAATCTATTTTAGACCAAGGCTCTTATTCTTCCGAGGTTTTCTACTGCAGGAGCTACCGAGATACAAACCAGCCTCCGTGCGCTCTGGCAGATGCTGTCTAAGTGGTGGCTCACTGCCAGGAGGAGCGAATCTCACTCTGAGCTTTCCAGAACAATTCAGTTTCCTGAACCATGTACAAAGCCTTTTCCTTGAAGAACATTTTTTTAACGAAACATTTTAAGTTCCTCCAACACAGTACCTCCCCTCTGATTCCTCTTAGTCCCAGTGCAGCAGTTCATGCCAAAGACTAAACTACTCTCCTTGAGAAGTCATTTTCATCCAGTTCGCTTAGAAAGATGCTTCTTGCTGCAACACTGTAGTTTTCTCATTGTGACTTCTACAGCATTCCCTAGAGCCTGCTGACATCCTACTACGAGGTTGCTCTTGTGTTATCTTCCCCCTAATGTTGTCTCAGTAAACTCAACAGCGAAGCCCAGCCCTATGGTTTCTGTTAGCAGGTACACTACTTACCAGTAACCTGCAGGTAACACAGGCTACCCTTTAAAACGTATTTTGCATCCTGAATCTTAAACACATGGCAGAGTATAGGTCCTAAAATTAAACTAAAAAAGGGTTTTCCACTGTCAGACTCCGTTTAAGGCCAACAGAGTAATACCCACATTGGTACTGCCAGTGCAAGGTTATTAAAAAAGACACACTTCTCTTGCCACAAATGGTGACTTTAAGAGTCTTGTCATTAAGAAGATACATTTTGGATGATTTTATTTGCTTCCTACACTCGGCATCTTTTAACATGCTCTCACAATATTTATAGCTTCCTCTTCCCCCCACCCTCCTGCAAAGATCATTAAACTTTTTTCTAAGGGCTAAAATGACTGGGTTTCATTTATGAAAAACCTCAAGCAATGATACAGACTCCTCCTAAATGGGAATGCAAATATCCGATTGATTTAGGAAGGTAGGAACAATGGGCTCTTTAGACTAAGCAGCAAGCAAAGATCTGGACTGCTTTAGCCAAAGGGACTCAGCAGCCGAAATGTTGGGAAGGGAGGAATCTGATGGCATTCTAAGCTATTCCAAGGCACGCTCCTCATCAAAAGGTATGATGGCAATAAAAGCCACAGTAACTCTTCTTGTAAGTAAGTCTTTAAAAAGGAAAGGTAGGAAGTGTATCTGGATGCTAATCAAGTCTCTGTGGAGAACTACTGCAGTACCAGCTGTTCCAAAGTAAAGATCCATCAGCATTTTCCATCTGCTGTTAAATGTGTGTGCAGCCACAGCAACGGCACCTCGGTGCCTCCTGCCAGTCGTCAGATTCAGACTAAAAAGCTGTCTATGAGGAAAATAATGTATTCAGCAAGTCTTCTGCTAATACTCAGAAATTTCTAGTCCAGTACTCGGGCTTTTAGAAGTTGATCCAGCTTTTACAAGGAACACGCATGTACATAGTTATAAATGGTTGCTATGTGTCTCAGTTCCATAAATCTCTCCCAAACTACTCCAATAAAATCATGCCTATACATACTCACAGAATCACTTTGCGTCTTTGGAATCTTCGTTAATTAAATTTATATCTTTGGAAATAATGTCTGTGTGAAGAGAAGAGTTCCCACACACACACATACAATTCACATAACAACTTGGAAAAATGATGTAAGAAAATCTTACTGGAAAGCCCCAAGTTTGACAGACATGTCTGACAGAAAAGAAAAACAAAACCCCTACGTATCTGAAAATACGAGACTCTCCAGTCCCCACACACATCCACGCAGCTGGGGTTTTCTTTGGCACCAGCTTCGCAACACCCTCCCGCGTACAGGGCCCAGGGCTGGGCCAGGCGGGTCACCCGTGGCCTGAGCAGCCCTCAGGAGCCGCTGCGGTCAGCGCAGGCGGCTTCGCTGCAGCCCTCCTCAGCAGACCGACCTGCTCCTCCGGCGGAGCAGCTCGCTCTGAACACCTGGACAGGAAATAGGTGCCTAATGACACTTCAAGAATGGCAGCCCAACTACAGTGACCGAGCCTGAAGCTCTCGCTCCCACCTTGCGCACGGTCTCCAGTTCCTTCTGCTTGTTCTCGTTGGCCGCCTGCAGTTCTTTCATCTGCCGCTCCAGCTCCTCTTGCTCAGCCAACAGCTTCTGGCGCAGTTCTTTCCGTTTTTGGCGTGCTTCTTTGTGGGGTGGAGGGCTCCCCGCTCTCAGCAGGTTTACCGTGGTCTGGATGGCTGGAAAGGAACGTGCAAGAGAACCCCAGTGAAGGGAAATGCTGAACTTTCTGGGTAGCCTTAATGACTGAATACCAGTGCTGTTGTCTTGTTCTTTTATTTTTAAAGATATTGTTTAACATCAGAAGTGACTGTTGTCAGTTCTCCTAATCCTCATCAGGCTAGCTGTCAATACGAACCAAAAGGGAAAGACGTGGCTTTCAGTACTGACTGTGTGCCACAAGGATACGGACCGGCAATTCCAATCCACGGTGTCTATTCCACTATTGATTTCTAACTGCCAGTGGACATGCAAGTCACTTGTACATCTAGCTGCAAAACACATCAGCACTGCTTGCTACCTGGATTCAGTGACTCTAATCAAGCAGCAGGACATTACCTCATACATACATCACTTACTTTCCTAGAACCAACATCAAACCCTTTATTCTTACTGATATTCCCGAGGAACCTTTCTGCCAGTAGGAAAGAAGCTCTCATTCCCTTATGTTCAGTCAGGAACTCGAGAGCAAAGCTGTGAGTAGCAGATTATTTTGGTATTTTATTTACCTACTACAACTGTGAAAATAGATGTCCTTGTGGAACTAATGATTTGTCCTCCATCAGACTTCAGTGCAATTAAACACACGCTGTAGGTAAAGAGGGACGTGCAAATGAAAGCACACAGCTCCAAATATTTACACGCTGCACATATTTCAATGGCATTGGCAACAGTGGGTTTGCAAGGGCCTCTATCTCACTCTGCACATGTCTGGGAAGGTCTTTCAGGAGTACCTTCACCATGGCAATAGAAAAGGAAGCCCCGACTCCCAGCCTCATCCTCAGCTCACCAAGCCATACTATCACAAGCAAAAATGGAAAAGCAAAGCCAGTATTTTACGATGCTAAAATGAATGTGCTTTCCCTTTCTCCCCAAAAGCAACAATTTACAATGTGCCCTTTCCCTTCCCCATCCCTAGAGGTACAGCCAATACAGAAAAAATTAACAGCAGCAATACCCATTTCACTTTGGTTATGGCTGCCTGAACTGCGGCACCTAAATGACAGAAACCGATGCCCCTTACGCGGATCCTTAGTTCTTCCCAAGTCTCAGGCTCCTTGAAGATCCTTCCCATGTGCCCAAAACAGAGACACCAGCAGTTGCAAATCTGAGTAAAGCACAGCTCTAAGGCTTCAGCTTACCTTAGCTTTCAGATAACTGTGATTTTTGAAACCTCACCTTGAATCCACTCCTGCTTCTTCTTTTTATCAGAGGCACTGATCTCAAAGCTTTTATCAAGACATTTTATGAGAAAAAGGCATTTCTTTCCATCTTTGTCAGGCAAGGCCTAGAGGGGGTAACAAAGGATTAGCCTTGCACACACAGAAATCTAAGTTGTATTGTCACGCCCCACGTACGCAGTTACCCCTTGCAAAGCTACAAATACCAGTACTAAGAACCTCTGTAAACAGTGTTTATGAACTGGTTTTATATAAAGTAAAAAATAATTCATTAATGAAATATATCAGGAGTCCACCCTACACACAAAAAAGGATTCTTATCTTTAGCGATATTCATAGTTTTTGGTGGGGTGGGTTTTTGCTTTTTTTTCTCTTCTTTTTTGTTTTTTTACCTCTACACAACAGTTGCCATCCAGCATGATGTCTCCCTTCTTGTCCTTTAAATCTTCACTTACATAGTAGGAAATAATATTGGGTTTTAGCACAAACCATCGTTCTGTCCAATTTTTCCTTTTATGACCTTTTTTCAACATATAGCCCTGTAAAAAGCAACAGATCAGCTGAAACGCCCGGCCTCTGTGGAACCGCCTGGTCTTCTGGTTATGTGGTGTAAAGGCCCGAGAGAGCACGCACAGAAGTTATTTCAAGGCCCTAAATACTTCACCTACACCCTTCCATTCCTAACACCAGCCCACTGCTACTTGTTTAGCCCATGAGAAACTACTCGCTGTTCTTCTGCCCCGTTTTTCACTTACTCGGTTATCTGAAGAACGGAGCAACTACCAAGACATACATGTTAGTAGTATTAACGTCATTATCAAGTCATTATTTTGACTCTCCGGTCCTCTTTGGTGACCCTTACCATTTAATTTTCTTCAGTCAAGCAGAGACATTTGCCCTTGCTAAGACTCACCTGCAGTACTCGTTAGACAGCCGGCATTAAAGATCAGTCCTGCGTGGATGCAGGTGTGGGCATCCTGCAAGGCCAGATGTGGGCCTGCATCTACGCACTGTAAATCCAGCCTGCTACGGGATATTCCAGGGACAAAGCAGAAGCACCTCTGTCCTGGGAGTGGCTCCATGCTGCCAACACGCTCATTTAGCTGCGCTCCACGGAAGAAGCGATGCCATACAGGATACTGCAATGAGTGTGTTAGAGAAACTGCTAACAGAACCATACTCCTGGCATCTTTACTGGACGGGATATGGGAACACTAGTGAAGCTTGGATTTTCCCTTAAAGGAACAGAGTTGTACTTTGATCTAAATAATGCCCAGATTTCACTCATAGTATTTTATTTTTCGTGAAAGATGATCCACTCAAACACACTTGCAAGCCTTAACAAGACTATTTCAAAAGAAGGATGAGAAGCCCGCATTTGTCACCAAGCTTTATACCAATGAAAGAATAAAAATTATAATCTTCTGTAACGACAATCCATGGGGCTGGTATCATGACCAAATCACCCAAGTTTGCCTCTGTTGAATCACAGACTGGTTTGGGTTGGAAGGGACCTTAAAGCCCATCTAGTTCCCCCCCCCCTGCCATGGGCAGGGACACCTTCCACTAGACCAGGTTGCTCCAAGCCTCATCCAGCCTGGCCTTGAACACTTCCAGGGATGGGGCATCCACAGCTTCTCTGGGCAACCTGTTCCAGTGCCTCCCCACCCTCTCCAGGAAGAACTTCTTCCTGATATCCAATCTGAACCTCCCCACTTTCAATTTAAACCCATTACCCCTTGTCCTGTCACTACAGACCCTTGCAAAAAGTCCCCCCTAGCTTCCCTGTAGGCTCCTCCAGGCACTGGAAGGCTGCAACTGAATATTAACATACCTAAAACATAAGGCAGCAATACTAAGTGCAGTTATACCAGTGACTGTTATACATTATCCAGTGTGGCTATGGCAATTCAAAAAGCGCCTCCTGGAAAGGAGGGTGCACAGGGAACGATACAGTAATTGGTCATTCTTTCAAGTGGGTTCTTTTAGTGGTCTTATCAGGGACACTGCTCTCACCTAGTCAGTTTTTAATCCAGAGCTTCAAAGTTTGCCCATATGGCAGCTATACTTGCTACTTCTCAAACCATACTCCCCAGTGACATCACTTCATCTGACTCCTAACTTCAGAAAAGAGTCACGTCACAGGTGAAACAAACACCCACACTGATACAACTACAAGCAAGTGTGCAGGAAGCGCTGTACTCAAAAGTATGACAGATAAAGAGGAGTGAAAAGTTGGAAAGGAGACCAAGGAACATTTTCTGTAATGCCTTTTAGCTACAGCAACTTTGGATACAGGATAAAAAAATTAATGTGCTGTTGTATATTTAAGTCGGAAGTATCTTTCTATACAGATCTGAGGGGAAAAAAAATTCATTACAGTTGAAGCAGCTCTTTTGTTTCAAAAACAAAACAAACAAAGAAGAAACAAGCCCCCTGCACACACAGCCGATCTGCGCTCATCTTCTCTAGCCAGTTTCTGGCCAGAGCCAAGGCCGTGCCTATTCTCCCGTGCTATCCCACACCCCCTCGCTCCACAACAGGAATGCGCAGAGAAACAGCTTTGTTTGCCGCCTCTGTACTGAGGTCTGAGGCCTGGGTGGTCGCAAGGGCGTATGAAGGACTCCTCTAGCTTCGCTCTTTCATGCCTTGCACAGACTGAGTCCTGATCAGGTGTTTTTCCCTTTCCTACAAGGGGGCTACAAGGAAGCTGGGGGGACTTTTTACAAGGGCCTGTAGTGACAGGTCAAGGGGTAATGGGTTTAAATTGAAAGTGGGGAGGGTTAGATTAGATATCAGGAAGAAATTCTACGCAGAGAGGGTGGTGAGGCACTGGCACAGGTTGCCCAGAGAAGCTGTGGATGCCCCATCCCTGGAAGTGTTCAAGGCCAGGCTGGATGAGGCTTGGAGCAACCTGGTCTAGTGGAAGGTGTCCCTGCCCATGGCAGGGGGGTTGGGACTGGATGGGCTTTTAAGGCCCCTTCCAACCCAAATGATTCTATTCTATGATTCCTGACACACTAAATTTGCTTTCAAAGCCAAGTCAGACTGTCATTTTCCCCTCAAATTTCTGCAAAATATTTATGTATTATTTTTGTGCATCAGCTGCTTCTCATCTTCCAGGAGCCCACTGACACCTACTGGGAATCTTTTCACACCAACTGTCACACGAAGGACACGTCTTTCAGAAAACCAAGCATCACAAATTTAATCATCACTGCTACCCTCCACACGCCGTGGAGCTCCGGGGTAAGTGCACAGTAAGAACGGTAGTATGAGACTTGGCTGTGACACACTATGCCATTAGCTAATACCTTGAGGTAATCACATACTGCAATAAACAGGACAATTCTGTGAATCAACAAGGTATCAGGGTACAAGCTGTGACCAAACCATAATCTGTCAGTCACAGGGGGAACTCCATTCTCCATCGGGGCGCTGACTGTCCAGGAGGCGCTGGGCCAAATCTTGACACAAACTATTTTTAAGTGTCAAGGAACCAAAGGCACTCAGACATCCTTGAGAAAGAGGCCCAGCCACCAAGAGAGGAAAGGAAGGAGACTGTGTTTAAAAAAAAAAAAAGAAAAAAAAGACGGGGTGGGGAGACACAATGCACTATCAAAACTGAGAAGAAATCCAATTTCCTCACAAGTTTCAGGTGGAAGGACTGACCTGACAGTAGCTGTTTTATTTTCATGGTATTAAACAGCAGAATGACTTCATTTTGCCCTCAATGACTGTGTGTGTGTGTCCAGCCCTCACCTCCAACAGGCAACCACAAGTTAGCAAAAATAGACTTTTGCATTGTTCTGTGGATATTCCGAAAGAATTTCCTGTGCCGAGACCTGATGATGATTTCTTCAGAGCCACTTAGGGAAGCCTGCCAAGAAAGCTTCTGTTTCCCTGCTCACCAAGAAGCCAAGTAATCAAAGATGAAAAAGGTGTCTCTGCTTTAAACAGCTCCCTAGGTAAGCTCTGCTGTGACCCCTCAGGTCCCTGTGACGGTGATACTTCCCCTGAGAGAAATGCAGTTTTTATAGCCATTCCTAAACGGGTAATTCAGCCACTGGAAATCTGAAGAAACTGAAGACTGACAGAAGTTAGCTAAGAACATAAAGCCAGCATGACTTCTTGTGTTCCAATACAGGTAAATAAGCTGGCAGCCATGTAGCCTGCTAAGCAGAACAAGAAGGGAGTGAGCTCCAGAGCTCTTCTACACCTTTTTGCCCTGAAGTGTGCCCACTCAGAAGCAGACTTTTCAGCTGGAGCAGCACCCTTTTCCAGATCCCCTTGTTTGGTGACACAGGTTATCATCAGCCCAATTTCCATTTGCTGCAATGTAACAGACACTGGGAAAAAGCATTTTCAAAGGCTGAAGAGTTGTCACCCGTGTAAGAGCTGACAGCGTGTTGCAGCCACTCTGCCAGCTAACAAGCAGTGGATACTAGTATAAGAAAAGGCTGTATTTCAAGTCAGAGCACACTTACTTTCTAAACACAAACTCTCTCAACAAGCAACTCATTCATAATACTCTAACAATTACAGCAGCATAATTTCTCTCTTATAAAAACAAGCTCACCTTTAAGAACCCTTATAATTTGCCTCATTTACCCGGCTCATTATGCATCAGGTAAAGAAGTAACAGGAAAAGTTGAACATTTTCTAAACGTGCAATAGAGAGTTCCACCTCAAAGCATTAGTTCTCTGTGGTTCTCACCTGTTTGAGTACATCTAATATGAGCTCGTTAAAGACTTCGTTGATCGCCATGGACACTGTCTGTCGATCCATCCCTTTGCTGAACTGCCCGCTTCCGATGAGATCGATCAGCTCCCACGCAGACAGACCTTCTCGGCTGGTGTTGAGGGCAATCTTATAATGGTCAAACTGCTCTTGCTGCCAGCCTGCTCCCATTGCTTCGGTGAGCTTTTTAAGTAAATATTCAATCTGCGCAGAAAAACAGAAATTAATCCTACTCAGCAGGCATGGAAATCAAGTGTTTCAGAGCTGTAAACTAAGCTCCTCTAGAGACCATCATTACAGCTAGATTCCTACACTCCTAGGGAGGGCCCTAAACTTAGGTGGTTTCATTAGCAAAGATTTGAGGCTCCTGTCTCAGCTGAACTTTTGACCGCCAAGCCCATCCCGCAGCTATTCTTCTCATAGTAAAGAAACGAAGAATTGAACCTGACAGTGTCTTTTAGTATTTCAGATTCCTACAGAACACATGGGACCTTCCCTGGAACAGCTTCCAAACCGGGATGACTGACACATGAGAAAGCAAGAAGTTTCAAAAAGTATTCTTGTAAGGTAAAAAGCAAACAAATTTTAAAAAAATGAGGAAAAAAATGGCAGTTTGGACAAGAAGTGAAATGAAAAACTACCGAGGTACTATCACATATCTCAGTCTTCACCTGACCCCTCCAGCTCTCCAGCACTCCATCACTGGACACAATCTTGGCAGATGTATCCAGAGAAATAAAAGAACAAATCTTTCACGTCTGCTTTTATTGTTTCCAAAATTAACTCTCCTTTTCCTTTAATCTTTCCTCATTCTGTAAGCATTACCATACAACAGGGTAATAACACAAATAACACCAGTCAATATAAACACAAGAATGAAAAAGAGGGAAAGAAGGCTGGGTGTCTTCTTTTGCCTGATTTTTTATGTTGTTTTTAAACTCAGCACCATTCCCTCTTTAAACACACTATTTTAAACTAAGCCCATCTACAGCTCTGAGCACACGTGAAATGCCTTTAATGGCACTTTAAACCAAATAATCGGTGAGAGCCTTCCTACACAACAAAGTAAAAGCCACGCTTCTAAGTCTCCATGACTGAAGTGACAGCATACCAATTACAGCATTTAACCCAGCTCTGAAGACAGACCAAGCTAATGCCACCTTCTGCCATCCTGGGCAACGGCTCCCGCGTCTCCTCGCCAGCTTTGCAGGGAACCCACTGCCTCCGGCGACCAGCCAAGGCACAGCAAAGCCGCCTGCGCCCTCCCCTCAGGGGCAGCCTGGGGAGAGGGTGCTCAGTAACCCTGCACGGCAGCACCCTCCACACCAGCCCGCCGCAGGGACAGGGCAGCACCAGCTCCCCAAAGGCTGGCCCTTCTCTCCAGCTGCCACAAGGCCAGCACAGGACCACAAACCCGCCGGCAGGTCGGCCTACAAAGCAGCAGGCCAGGGCCCTTCCCACCTTCTCTACGGGCACCAGGGATGCGGCAGGGTGGGAAAGCACCACGATCCTTTCAGGTCTTCTCTCTCTGTACGTGGGAATGGCAACAGAGGTCTTGAAGTGCTGCTTTTCTGAAATCTGTTCCTTCAGGACAGTCGGTTCCACTTTCCATTTACCTATTTTAGGTGTGGGTTTGGAAATACTAAGTGACTCAGGAGTCTGCATTCCATTATCAAAAATGATGAAGATACACAGCATGAATGTGCCTCATTGAAAAGTGGTGGAAACCAAATGCTTTACAGGACTTCGTTTTCCTAATGACCAATGCTGGTTCACCTCTGTTCCTCAGCACCGCTAGAAAACACAATGTAGTATCTCCTACAGATCGACATAATACTGGATTTCTGTAAAATTCAGTAACTAATCCCGTTAAAAATCTTTAGAATATGCTTTGCTGATTTTCACCCTCCAAAATCCTGAAGTTAAAAAATTAATCCAAGGCTTCTGAGCATCAGCTACCATAAATCCTCAGCATTCAGTAAAGGCAGGAAGCAGCTTACTTCCTACTCCAGCCAAGTTTTATAGAAAAAAACCCAACCCAAAAAAGCCCTTCACAGCATGCAAGAACAGTAGCATCGAGAATATGTTTCAAAACAAACCTCCCAAAATCTGGATTTGATGAGCTGAAATGAGCTCTGGCATCAGTGCAGGAGTAACTTTCAAAACATTCTGCCACTCGGCTCAGTCCCTCTGAGCAGCACCCGCTCTGAACCACGATCCCGTACTTCAGTTGAAAGGGAAGCTAAAATAACTGAGGCTTAATTAGGTATATAACTGCCAAAATGCTAGACAGTAATTAAAAAAAAAAAAATCATTAAAACTTAATGAACTTTAAATGTATTGTTCTGAGATTTCATAACCTATGACACTGCTTGAGGCATACAGCTCTCAAATTCCCTTGGTTAATTATCCCAAAGTACTACAGGACTCACTTGCAGACAAAGGGACACACATACCAAAAGAAAAAAAATCATACCTGAACAGATTTTTTCACATTTTTGCTCCAGCCCTATGAACATAATGTCTATCAAACTAACAGGAAAAGAAGCAATGCAACACTCTGGGCTAGTACACGTTATCAGGTACTGCACTAAAAATAACATAACCTTTCCCTTTAATACAGTTTGTACACATTTTACCTTATTTTGATAATCATAACAGATTTTAAATATTTACAGTCTGCTAACCCCCCATTTGCAAGTGACTAACGTGACCACAAATCCCATTAAAGTACATAAAATCTCTCATCAGTATAAAATACATTAACTCATCTTAACGGAGAAAGAACCTGTGCATATTACAGTTTAGTTTCCAAATCAAGAAAAATTCAAGCTTTATCTTGCATTCAGATAAGTACGTGCCTAACCAAATTCCCCAGAAAAATTTTATTTAACAGCTCAAAAGCAACAGTGAGCATAGCGGTGGGTTGTAAACACGGAGCAGTGCAAGGTCAACGTAAAGAAGTTGGATCTGTTAAGTGTGGAAGCGAAGAAGGGACCATTCATTATGTGCTCAAATGAGGAACCTCTGACAGCAAACGACATTTCCCCTCCTCCACAAAAAGACATGTCAACTCAGCAAATAACTGACAAATTAAGTCTACTGGCTCAAACATAACCCACTCTTGTGGTTAAGAAGTGTTGAAAAGCAAACATGAAGCAATAGTTTGCTGCTATTCTGACTGACCTTACTCACTTTCAGATAAGGATGTAAGAAGACAGAGGGGTTGCTAACGCTACATACGCCAGTACGGACCAACTGGCTCTGCAGTACAAAAAACAGCTTCTATCTCCAATCAACAGGAACTTTTCAGCCAGAATTTTGCCAAGAGAAAGCGAAAACAATATAAAGAACAGAGGCTCTTTAATAAGAGCTGTGCAGCCTCTTTGGTACATTCTTTCAGAGGGCACTTTCTTTTCCAATGTTTCAATACCTATTTGCATTGCTTTTCCAGGTATTCCTGGCACTATTCTCCATGGGGAATGAAATACATGTTTCACATATTTTTCTGATACACAAGTGGGTCTTTTAGAAGATGAAAATTGAAAAGGAATGTCAAGGAGGCATTCATGCCCAGCAGAGCACCGCAGACAAGGCTATTCCGGCTCATGCTATTCAAATAAGGTTTGTGATATTAACAGAGCAGATGTAAAAAGTCTACTCACGTTGTACAAAATTCTGCGGAAACACGTTACTGGGCAAGAGACATGAAAGCAATTATATCCCCTTTCACAGTCATTATCAATTGCTGCCGTGATCAATCACCATCAGAACATCACTCACTTTACAGTCAAATATTTGCTGCTTCCCTTCCACCAACAAAAAAATCCTCATACTAGAATTTATTAAACTTCACAGACAGTAACTACTCCAAATTAACAGACTTTGTGAAAACTGTGCTCATTATGCAGTGCAAGCCATTATAGTCTTTCTTTTTTTTTGAATTAAATTAGCACTAAGTAATACAATAATACACTCAAGAAGCAGTGTAACATGTAAACACGTAAAACCTAAGGACAACCTGCTGCATGAGCTGACACTGTCTTGTCTTTTGCAGCAATCAAGGCGAAGAGTAGTGAAATGGGAAGCACTGATGCAAGTCATAAGCGACTAAACATCTTCCTAACCATCATCATCAACTTGTGGGGCTTTAACTGACCCATGACCTCTACACAAGCAGCTTTCATTCCGCTTGTATCAGTTTTGATTTTATTTCTGAACGCCCAGGGTTCAATTCCCAGTATTTCATTCACTGTTACCAGTTTCTGATACTAGAATGCAGAACAAGGAAGCAAACGTGGTCAGAAAAAAAGCTTTTTCTGCAAGAAATGCCTCCAGAACAATCACCACTGTACAGCTTCAGACTTTCATCTCGTCAGTCTAAAAATGCATTACCTCATGTTTCACGCGCAGGAAGCCACGCAAGGTTTGGACTCTCTCTGTCCTAACCGGGAGCATTAGAAATGCCATGTGTTAATACAGTTAAAGGCTGAAGGACAAGCGAAAAATGGCTGTACAAATCTTCTTCCCTTAAGACGCCAGGCTTCGAAAGCAAAGACACCAAGTATGTTTGGCCTGTTTAAAACAACGCCAACGCCGTATCACAACACGCCAAGAGTGCGCGGCTCCAGCGTAGCCATCGGCGAGTTCCACCGTTACGGGCGGCGCAGAAACGCAGCTAACCACACACCACAGCTTTCAGGCGAGAAAGCATTCCCAAGGCTGCGGTCACATGTCCAGAAACGAGAAAGGGGAAGTGTTTGGAAACTTTTTTATACAACACAAAACATCTGGTTAAACAATAGCAAGGCACACAAATGGTTCTGTAACAACTAGGAGGCGAGTGGTAAGGGGAAGGTCATGACTAGAAATGTTTCTGCTCTTATGGCTACGGTTCTCTCCACCTTTCTTCCCCTTATTTCACCCTTATCAAGGAAGAGGTAAGGCCTGCGAGAGCTGTAGGAGACACACACACACATGGATGTCTGCGTCTCGGATCAGCTATGGAAAAGACCACCCGCAGGGAGGGGAAGGAGCTGCCACCCAGGCCCCCCACTTCCGGGGTGCACTAGCCATACAGCTGCTTGGTAAAGCTCTGCCCACTGCACCAGGAGGCAGTTCAGTTCTGCTAGCCAAGAACTGCATTAATTCTGAAAGCTATGCATCAGGACTAGTTTTAGGATGTCTGCGTCTCCAATCAGCTATGGAAAAGACCACCCGCAGGGAGGGGAAGGAGCTGCCACCCAGGCCCCCCACTTCCGGGGTGCACTAGCCATACAGCTGCTTGGTAAAGCTCTGCCCACTGCACCAGGAGGCAGTTCAGTTCTGCTAGCCAAGAACTGCATTAATTCTGAAAGCTATGCATCAGGACTAGTTTTAACTACAGCAAACAAAACACAGCACTGTTTTTCTGCAGTCCACCTGTATCTGTCTGAAATATCACTTTCACCCCACTCCCAGATTTGTTTTACTTTGTGCATAGCAAAGCTGCTCACTTGAAAGGGGAGGGAGCTTTTGGATCTGATACCATTTTGCATTTCCCCAGGACATGAACACCATCCATGGATCTCTGTTCCTTTCCAACTCTCCGAACTGTTCTCAGCTGCCCACCAAAGCTACGCTGCAGCCCAAGGCTGAGCCCAGTGCCCTGCACAGCCACCAGCTCCTGGATCAGGTCTCTCTGGGACCTGACTCTTCCCCATAAAATCGAGAGATCCTCCCAAGCTTGAAGTCACATCCCAAAACTGCACACCCAGACCCAGGCCCTTCCCCATGCTGAATTTTACTGACCTTATTTCCCTCAAGCTCAGGGCTGCCATCTCTCCTTCCCAGGCAGGTGAGGAGCGCAGGCCAGATGCTGCCTCTGCCTTTCTTTCAGCCTGGCCTCTGCTAAACAAGGAAATGCTGGCCCTTCTGTCACCGATCCAGTGCTTTCACATCCCCTCAATGTAACTGCTTTCCTTACTTTGCTCTTTCTAAAGCTTTCCTCAGCCTGCACCTCCAGAATGTTTCCAGAATGCTTTCCCCTCCCTTGAGCCGCAGCTGCTCCCGATTTGCTGCCTGTTCAACACCTGGGCAGGGAACCGAGACTCAACACGCTGCAGGTGGGGGTAACACCCCACCTCAATCAGGGGTCTGTCTAATATGAAGGCCCAGCACAGCAGCACGGGTGCACAAGTAGTAAGGACAGCAAAGAGCAGCTCCTCCCAGGAGGAGGAGAGAAGCCATCCTTGTGGCCACGTGAAGTTGTATCAACACGTTCACTGGAGACCTAAGAAGTGCTCTCTATTATAATCTTCCCATCCAGATGGGATGCAAAAATCTCCAAGAGATCACCCTTCCAACCTGAAAGCATGGGGCAAGTTTCCCAGTTACTTTTAAAGGGGAAACAAAATCTCCGAAACCCAAACGCCTGTCAAGTGGAAGGGAGGGAGGAGGGGAAGCGGCTGGACCCCACACAAAGGACTCCAAGCCAGAAACCGCAGTGTGTGCTGCAGTATTCTCAGCCAACAGGAAGAACAGAGAGGGAGGGAAGGAAAGCTTGCTCCCTGGCTGGGAAGCTTTAGTCGCCCATGAGAGGTTTACAGTGGTCTCACCAAAACACACATCACAGAACGGCGATGCTTCCATCACCCTCTCCTCTGTTCTCCACTTTGCAAAAGCCCCTTCACTTTACACGTGATGTGCAAGCCGTCCGGTAATTAAGTGACAGGACAAATACAGAGTGGCAAAGACTAAATATCTAATCAAGCTTTTAAAGGTAATAAAAAGTAAATGCAAAGAAAATACCTTTACTATGCACCAGTATAATTTTCAATACTATTGGAAAGAGCTATTTTCAGGCAGAAATTCTCAGCGATAAGACAGTAACTACAAGTTTGTACAAAAAAATGCTTTGCAAATCTGAAGTTTACATTTAACATTAAAAAAAAAAACCCAGATGCAAGAACTTAAAAGGCAGATATGAAGGGTCACACAGAGAAAAAGCAAAACTGACCGAAATTGAAACTTTGCATCTTTACTTCTGGAATTTTGTGCAAAAGGGTAAATGAGTAAATGTGGAATTTTCCAGAAGCACAAAGAAACCGAGGAGGACCAGTGCAACCCAGAAAGGAGTGTGTTCAACAGACAGCACTCCTCCACTGGGTGATTGCATTACCTGTGTGGTCTGAGGCAAAAGGTTAGAGTGAATACAGGCATTGTATATGATAAGAACAGAGCAGCCTTTCTTTGTCAGGCTCTATAAGCCTTCTTTAAACAGTATTGCACAATTTACATCTTGCTGTAATCAAGGAGATGCAGACAGAGCCACCCTCAGAATTTTTAAAATAATCCAAGTAGAAGAGCCACACAGGTTAACCCTGGGCATTAAAGGTGGGAAGGAAAGCACACAGCAGCAGCTGTGAATCTCCTTTGGGCTCAGAGACGAGTTTGCAGCCCGTCTCCCAACAAACGGACACGTTGCCATTACCTGGCAGCAGCTACAGAAGGCAGCATGAATCTGGGGGCTTGCTTGGTGGAGGGGGAGCAAGTGAGCAACGCCCCTACCCCAGAGGTGGCAGGTCTGAAGCTTTTAACCATGCTAACAAAAAAGGAAATGGGAAATATCTACCCTCAGGTAAGCCAGGCTGCACAGTGGGGAACATCATGACAACCCAGAAACATGGATTTGAGTCCTAGTTTTTACATGTATTAGTGGCTCTGATGTTCTACCAAGGCCAAATCTGGCACCAGTCAGAAAGGAGCCGTCTTAGCTTTTATAACCAGGATCCCAGTCTCTCAGAACTGGCAGGGAAAAAAAAAAAGAAAAAAAAAACAGGTAAACAACACCATCCCATTTTTCACGGGCATATAGCATGCCAGGCAGGGCCCTGTCATCACCAGCCCGGCAAAACCAGAACCATTAAAAATGAGTGATAAGGCAAACCCAAGCAGTTTATTTTGATAGGGGAGTTACCTATACTTCATGGTCTGGCACAACAGCTCGGACTCCAACAGTTTTGTCGCAGTGGCATGTAAATCAGACTTTTGATCTCTGACTGTTCAATAGTTCACAAATATTTATTAACCCGTACTCCAGTGCTGAACTGCAAACCCCTGGGATTTCTGCATACAGTTTTGCAAAAAGTTATTTATGCCTACAGTTCTGATCTTTCCACTTCTTCCCTCGCCCCTCCCAAGGGCAGAATTGTCGGGATACCAAAATCTTGCTTTAGGGTTAAAATACCTATCTGAGCATTGCCCATACTTGTTCATGAACTTAAAGTATAAAGAGATCTCTCTGGTATTATTCCTTCAACCATTTCAAGCAAAAGCGTTCAGGTGGTGGCTGCTTTTGATCAGAAACCAGAAAAGTTTGTACTTCTCCTTTTCATCAGGAGGGTGACATGAGACTGAAGACTCATCTTGCAAGTCACAGTAACACAGAGCAGAGGGGAGAATTTATTTTCAGAACATACTGATGTACTAACTGGGCAAAATTTTAATCACATATAAGCAGCAAGCACAGCGATTAAAGATCACATACACGCACTACTCAGGAGTGAAGCAAGAACCTCAACAGCTCTGAGTGCTGGCACCAGCACCATCCAGTCCTCAGAAAAAGCAAAATAAGCTATTTACTGGGGAACAAACAGCATGCTCCATTTAGTCCCGGCTGTTTAAATGACAGACACACATACCCATCAATATTTAAAGTATCCTGTGGGAATCCCTGCATATGTACCCTGAAAGACAAAGAAAAGCACCCGAGGCCTTACATTAAAAGAGGGAAAGAAAAGTTTTCTATTAAATAATCATTTTCTCTGAAATCTCTAGAGAGCACAAACATCAACACAGTTCAGCTGGGACTTTAAGCAAACGTGTTGAACAGCCTTTTGTTCCTTACCTCCTCAGGTACAATGATTAAAGGGTATTTGTCCTCTGATAAGAAGTTAAAAATAACCCAGACTTTAAATGCGTCTTCATCACTAATCAGCAAAGGACTTCTAGAGAGGTTCTTTTTAGCACAGAGAGTCCAGCACATCCTGTTGAATTCAACTTTATCAAAGTTTCCTTGAACCTAAAATGAAGAAATTGGACAAAAAATATTACTATGCACAAATGGCACAGAAAAACAGACAAAGTCTGACAGGCTGAGTCATACAAAAAGTACCGAGAAAATTCTAGTTTGCAAAAAATGTCAAGGCCCAAAAAGAGCACTGTAACAGTCTAGTCTGACTTCCTGCCAGGGGTCAACTAAGAAATTTCTTCCAGCAAAACCTACATCCAACCTCCAACTTCTGGTTGAGTTAATAACACCCTGACTTCATACAAAGGAAGTTACCCTGCATTCTGCATTTCCTCTAGCACATTAGTTTTACCTTCCAAACCATCTTCATAATTTAGTTCCACTGCCCTTCAATTGCACTGAGATTTTATATGGCAAACTTGGAAACCATTCTAGCCAAAACTACACGTGGACATGCTAAAAGTGATATTGGAACAAGAGATGGGAAAGAGGTTTAATTACCACTTCACGTTACTCAAACGCAGGATATTCATAAACATGTCATCATTTTATTCTCAAATGCTAATCCGCTTTAAACCTTTCCTTTTTCTCAGACTTGCAAATATTTACCTTATTGATAAAAAAATCCCTCTTGTTTTTGTTATCCACTATCATACCTAGCAACTGTACATACCCACCTGCGAATTATTTACATATGTAAAAGATTTCATTTCCTCTATTTTCTTTTTAAACCTTCATTTATGTTAGATAATAAATCTATTTATCTCCCTACAACTTAGCAATGCTGTTTCTTTGCCAACATGTAACCGATAAAGGCATGTTCTGCACTGTAATGGAAGTCCCTTGAGATTCCGGAAAGCATGTCTGAGAAACGAGTTCTTGTACCTCTTGTGGTAACGGCATCAGTAATGTTCAGTGACCTCTTCTTATGATAGGCCAAACCATGCATCTTAGATGCTTCAAGGACCCCAGTGCAAACTGCATGATTTCCTACCCAGTCTGGTAAGTGGTCAAATACAGTGGAGGGTGAGCCACAGTGGCTAAGTCAAAGATAGACTAACGAAGCAGATGAATTGATGAGGGTGGAGGCAAAAAGGAGAAAACTAAAAAGACACAAGTAAACAGGAAACCAACCCTATGCCAAGAAGCACTTTAGAGTGCAGTTTCCAGGACTAAAAGTGAGACTGTGAAAGAAAGGCATAGATTTTGCATGCTTGCAGAGCAGGCCACCAACAAAAATGACGATGCAAGAGGCCAGCTGTCCTTCGAAGAAGGTGGAAGCTGCAGGAGCTATAGCTGCTACAGCCACAAGCCCAGCATCTGGTTGTTCGCAAAAGAAACATGGGTCTTAAATGAAACACCAGCTAAGTGAATACACACTGTTTGGAAGAAGGGCTAGAAGCCAGGTTTCCTTCTCCTTCCTTCAATTTCCCAGCGCTTCATCCCTCGGGTACTCCTGCCTGTGCTTTTCCCTGTCTGTCCTCCCCATCCTGCCCAATGAAGCTTGATTTCTTTTCTGCAACAGCTTCACCCGCCAAGATGATGAGCAGTTTCACCCTGGAAACGTCCCAGTGGTTGTGCTACTCCCAAGGAAGATGCCAACAGGGTGGGAAATCTCTTTCCCCACAGGCACCACCTGGCAAGTGCCCTAAGCACTATAAATAAGGTGGGTTGCTCTACCAGCAGCTCCTGTTTTAAAGCACTGCAGCAATCAATGCCCTCAGGGAAATGTGGAAAAAGGCACATTCTGTTGCTTAAATAGCAAACAAATCCTTGTACAAGAGATTTTCCCTGTGCACTAGTATATACTTTTAACTGTGCTTCGTAATTTGTCCAAATTATTTGAAGTCACCATTTCATTTGGAAACTTCTACAGCACTCCACACTATTAACTTTACAGCCATAAAAACAAGACACGTAAAAGACACCAACCTTCCCTTTCTAAGTAGTTTCACAAAATAACCAAAAGAAAAATGCAGCCAAACCCATACAACTTTCTAGATCTTTAATTGCTACTAATATGCAAAGTATAATTTACCATCAATAGCCTGCCAAATAACTCTAAAACATAAAAAAATATAGAAAATATTTGGCCTAAGTACCACAGATCAGATCAGTTCCAAAAATTAACGAGCACTGGCAGTGTAAACAGCATTCACTAAGTTGTCTGAAATATGAGATAACCTGAGGTTTAGAACCATGTCCTCTGTCTCCCCCCACTATGACTCTTCCCTCCTATAAATAAGGCACATTGTAAAATACCACCATCACCATCACTGAAAACGGAACATTTTCAACTGGTGTTAAAAGACATACACTGTAAATAATGGAAGATGCTAAAATATGGTTATGAAACCAAGTAAAACGAATTATGAAGCATCATACTGGCAAGCGACAGCTCCCTCCTGAAAGGGACGCTTATGGAACAAGAACAGATTTTGGTTCAGATGCAGGAAAGCCCTAGATACCTCTGTCTGCTAAGTAACAAGCAGCATGATACTAGAAATTATCAATAGGCAACAATAATTATTCAAACTATTTATTCAAATTCCTTATTTGGATAAAAGAAATTAGTTGCAACCAATTTGGTTCATTAAACTACCAACTTGTGCCTTTCTTGACGACTCATTGGTTCTATATAAAGAGGATTTATTGCAGGGTAACACAGGGTAAGCCAGCACTAAAAAATATTAAAAGCTACAACTGCATTTAAGAGTACAACAGAAATTATTTCAAAAGGTTTCAACGTCCTCTCAATAAAACTGTAAGTCACAGTTACATACTTGTTTTAAAGAACTCTAGTATTCATTCTTTAAATATTTTACTAATGTTTTAAAGCAAAACACCTTGAGATCAAAAAAAAATTCTCTTGAGCAGGTTGCTCTTGCTCAAATCAATTAATTCACCAGACAATGTATGACTGGAAATTGAGAGAACTTCCTCTGTGTTTATAGTGTAAAGCACCAGTTCCTCCTTAGTAGCTTTGCTTACTAGTATAAATTAACAGAATTTCTTCTACAGTCACCCCATCTAAAAGGACAGATTACACACTGGAAGAAAGAAAAAGAAGGGGTCTCTTGTTTGCTTTTTTGCCTGTTTGGTTTAAACAAAGGAGACATGCTATGAACCGGTGACTTCATCCCGCTGCATGTTAATTTTGGCACTGATGTAAAGTCATCTCTAAAAGATGAGATGTCACAATCAAGATTTTTCCAGCCCACAAAGATAGTCCTGTGTCTATTTCACTGATTTTTAATACTACATATCTAAACAGTTTACATGCATTTAGTCAGGATTAAATAGCATGAAGTTACAGGTAACTTAATCCTGTTCCTTAACACTTTCATCTTTTAAGATGAACTAGTGGTATGGGTCTATCAGGCAATTATCAGAAGCCAGATCAGTGTATGAATAAAACAACACATGAAACTACATGCAGTCATGCTCTTCCATGAGCAAGCAAGTAGCTTGCCCTTTGTTTTCACCGTGGGGTAAGAGGGTGCTCCAGAGTAGAGTAGCTAAACACTGTAAATTCACACCAACTTGCTTTTGTAGCCTGGCCTTTGATTTTCAAATTGAAGTGTTATTTAAATGCAGTTGCTCCTCATTTCCCTAACTATTCTGCCTTTAACCATAAAGCATGTTTATATTTGAAAAAGCTTTCCATCTCTATCTTTTTTACTTTTGACTGAATAGCTTGCTACTGCCTACAGATGGTATTAACAAAACCCACTGTTGTTCAGACTCGACTACCGTAATCTTTCTGTCAAAATAAAGTAAGGCCTTTTCTTTTTGTCCAAAATTTGTATACAAACTGCTTGGTCTCTGCTGAATCTTACTCGAGCGCAGACAGCCAACACAAAGTGGAAATAGGATCACAAACTTCTTAAGGACAAAGGTAGATTCTCCAACATCAAACAACCACGACATTAAGCGGGTGCTTTTGTGTGTATCAAAGGTCAACAACCCCCACATGTGAAACAGGACCCAATTACCGGGTATGAGAGAAACACAGACGAGAGAGGCAGAGGGACTGATCAGTCTTAGGTCGATACACGAAGCTTCTCCTGCTTCCAGGCTGCCAGACTGCATTATATATATCACATTTTCCAGCAGTATTACGTAAAGAAGCAGCAAAAATGAGCAGATCAGGCTAAGGAGTTTGCATAATCTGCAGTTGCTGCATTGGACTTTTCAGCTGCGTGTCAGTTCCAGACTCCTTAACATTACAAAAGAAAGCAAATATCTCTCTGCAGCCACAACATCGAAGTTGGAGGGTTTCTGGGGTCAACCCCAAGTGTACGAGAGAGAATCAGTGGTATTGAAGCAGCTTGCACCATCATGTGGGCTGTTTTTTACAGCCTATGACCAGTCTCAACAGAAGTCAGAAAAAAAGCAGGAAGATAAGGGGTTTTTTTACTTTCAAAAATTTCACCCTAAATTTCAAAGGCACAGCTCTGGCCCAGTGACTTCCTATCTGACACCAAGACGGAGAGGAGAGTAGGGGAAACTTTGCTGGCCTTCCAGAGCTTCCCCAAAACAAGGCCCAAAGAAGACTGTAGAGTGCTCAGGCATGAGCCAGCTTACAAGATGAAACTTAACACTCCCTAATGTCACCCACTATAACTATGGAAGGGATCTATTTATTAAAATACCTTGTGCATAGACATTAAAGATTTTTTTGCCGGTCCTGTTGGCAGAGGATTTTATGACAATATTCTGTTACAGCCATAGCACAAAGTGGTACAATCCAAGCCACTTTCAAATAAATTCAAGCCGAGATGCTTTATTAATATGAACACGGTTCCGCATGAACACAGCTTAGACAATGACCAAATGTAACAGGAAACAGAAACCAAGGGGAGAAAAAAGAAGTAGAGAACAGTGCATCCTTCCATTTTAAGGCACAGGCTGTACAGAGTACCTCATCACAACCCCCCGCAGGCACACGCACGCCCAGAGTGCCTTCACACCAGCACGCCTTCTGCAAGCAGCAGCCTGCTGTAAAGATACCTTAACACAAAACCCGACAAAGGGAAAAACAGAAGACAAGAATTCAAAACTTACCTTTTCCAAGATGAATTTGTTTAGATAAGGCATATAACCCTGATTGGAAACTGGTCCTTCATCATCGTCCCTGAAGTGCTCTTCCAAGGCCACCGGATCGTGGGGAACATTTAACACTGTGCACAAGTTGTGAGAAAGGACCTAAGGACAGAAGAGAAAACAGTGACACTGCTGTTGGCCTTAACCATGCTGCGCTGTCCTCAGACACCTGCGTGTTTACAGAAGCAGTGCGATCGCAGAAAGGTCCGTTCCTGCAGAAGCTACCCTTTGTGTAAATATGCATTTGAAAACCTGGACAGGCATCCAGAAACACCAAAGTCAATATTTACAGAGTGAAATTAGATAGTTACGGAAAACAACCACAAACACCTAGCCTTTGAAATTATGTTTACTGTCTAGTGAAAACAATGAACAAAGAAAACAAGTCAATATGTACCTTTACTTTACAAAGAAATGACCACTCAAAGCATTAACAACAGATTTCTCTCATCTGCTTGCTTTTGGGTTACTTAACATTCACCACATGTTTCAGTGAGCAAAGGAAAAGAAAAGTTAGAGAAAGGGGAAGGGTTGGGGTGTGCTTCTCAAATTCTTATTTTAAAACGGTATTTGCATGAGTTATATGAAGATCTTAACACCCACTGGCACTCGTGTCTGTTCTTGTGAAATGACCTTCAAGAAGAGGCTACACACTTGATTAGTTTTACGGAAGTACTGAATTATTGAAAACTAACTGGTAGCCAACACCTCTCAACTTCTTCAGCTTGGGCCGAGTTTTGCATGCACAAACTAACACCTCCATACAACAACAGGAAGGCAGAGCCTGGGTAGCAGTCACTCCTGTGCCACCAGCACTCTCCTATGAAAGGCAAAGCACCATCCCTTTCGCTGTCAGGTCAGCCCAGTAACACGCTGCCCACTGTGTCAAACACACTCTCAGGACATCTGTCCTTGGCATGATGCGGAGTTAAGCCTCAGAAGACCACGTACCAGCTACAGGAACATGGTTAAGGATTTAACTTCAGATCCTCAGGAATGGTCACAATGCCACACACTTTAAATATCTGGGCTTCCCCTCCCCAAACAAAAATAATGTACATTTACTCTGCATGTCTCCTTATCTTACACAAGAAGAGTCTTAAGTGCTAGTCAGCGTAAAACTGTACAAAGACAGCACAAGATGCAAGTTCAGTTCAGAGGAGAATTCCTCTTCACATACCTCAAAAGTTACACTTTCTTTCAGTGTATTTCCCTTCAATCTATCCGCATTTTTAACCACCACATCAAATTAAGTATTTGAGTCCATGTGATTTACATGGGGAGAAGGGAAGGTACTGTCATGCGTGTTTCCCCTTCTATTTAAGGCTTAAGTTATTTATAGAACACTGAGGGATTCTTGAATTTCTGAGAGATAAAGATGATCTCAGTTTTCCAACCAGACCAGTTGCTAATATTGTAACTAAAAAAATAACACGCAGCTAATAAAAATATAAAAGCATAACTGATTTAAGCTTATTACCAAAATAACTTGAAAGTCTCAGTAAAACACTTGGCTATCATGTCTTTCTACATGTTTCTCTTCTCCCTTTTTTGGCTTTCTTGCTGTGTTTGGGCTGTGACAAACCCAGGTGGTTTCTGCTTCAAGCAACCAGTCTACCAGGAAAGAATTCCACTTTCAATGATTTTCTAAGATCTGCCTTATCTGGGATCTCTCCTGTGCCCAGCGCTCCCTTTTCAGAACTCAGGAAATTCCTCGGCGCCTGCCAAAGCCTGCCATTCTCTCAACACGGCCAGGCGCCAGCTGGGTTCTTCACTTGCAGGGTAAGCCTGAAGAATTCTGCACTGAGGTCTCGGCTGGGTTTGTTCTTTCAAATCACATTATCTGCACCATGATATACTCTATTTTAATGATCAATTAAAAAAAAAAATCTAGCTGAGTATTAGGTTAATTGGGGTACGAAAAATCGCCTTGCCTCGCAGAAGCTCCATCAACCATGAGGAAGCTTTGCACCACTAAGGATTATTCTTCCCCGCGCCCACAGGGTTGCTAGGCAGCTTTTTCCTTCACCATTTACTGTGCTCTGGATGCCACATTTAACAATCCACCTTCATGCCAGAGCCAACTCCTACCCCAGACCAGAGACTCATCAGTGTGTTGCGGCAAACGGGTACAGCAGTGGTTCCAAACTGGAGCCCGTGGGGCGGTACAAGCGGTCTGCCACGGGTACAGAGAACCAGTGCACTCTGGGCACGATTATTCCACGTCAATGAAGAGTTTGGTAAAAAAGATGCCTAGTGGTGCCCAGGCAATACCGGAGGTGTTCTGTTCCCTGGATGGCACAAGCAAGCTGAGCACCGACGGTTGTTACAGACTTTGGATTTACTTAGACAAGGCTTTGAGCAACCTGGTCTAGTGGAAGGGGGGGAACTGGATGGTCTTTAAGGTCCCTTCCAACCCAAACCATTCTGTCATTCTACTTTATTCGTGGCCAGTCTCATACTGCTTTACCTGGAGTGCAGATCTCCAGCCCAGCTCTACTCTGACACAGCTGCTCCCCTCTGAGCTCCCATTTTCCAAAACTTTAAGCACCGTGTTGAATTCTTACAGTCTGAGTAGTCCCATTTAACCTCGTCCATAAAGTGATCAGTGTTTCTAAAGGGAAAGGGAAGGTCTGCTAGACTACTTACTGCTCAGCAACAAGAATTTGGCGCAGATGATAGCAGGAGCATTAACCGGGCAGACTAATCCTACAGCAGCTATTGTCAGGATCTACAGTACTTTTCTCTTTTCCATCTTTCAGGGGGGTCTTCTTCCTCCCCTGTCCCTTTTTAAGATTTTTAAATGTTGGCACTGCAGATCCCTGACAGCTCCATTCAGTGGCTTCGTGTGAATTCATTCCAAGACATTCTTGGCTCATCTCTCCCTGACATCCATGTCAGCAGCTAGCCAGCCAAAATAAGACTACTCACAAGTACATTCCCTTTTCCTCTTTTGACCGGTGTGGAAACCAGCATCATATATGCCCCTTGTCACAGGCACGAGGTCTTTTCAACCAGGGTACATCTTAAGCATAGAGTTTCTTGCATCACAGCATCTCCGACACACGGTTTCCTTACCCACCCAGGCAGCAACTGCCCTACTCCGAGTCTCGTTATTTAACACCGGGCTTAGTGCAGTAAGCTCTTTGCCAGTGGGATGAGCGTATTCAAGCCTGGCCTCCACCAGCTCAGGTTCAGCTCGCACTAGTGCCCTTTGCCCACATCACCTCTCTGTTCCTTCCCTTGCTCCCTTCTCCCTTAGGCACTCACAGTCCCCTCGTCACCATTTTTCACAACCTCACCCTCCCTCTTGCCTTCATTCTCAGCATGCCCCCTTTGGCCCCCAGTCACATACTGGTGTCAGTCTGCATCCATCCAACTGCCAAGGGAATTTGCCTTTCTGCCCTGCGGCTCCCAGCCCTCAGGAAGCGCTGCCAATAAACGTCCTCCATCCACTGCGCCTTTCTTCTGTATCTCCCTTGAAACCAGCTGACAAATCCTGCAGGACAAAGGTTAAATGGGCTGATCCACTGGCAGATGCTCCTCTCAAACCCAGTGTTACGGCCCCATCATCTCCTAATGCCTCCCCTTTTTGGCCTACAAGCTGTCTTGATTTGCCAGCTCTTCTGGAAGAAGGGCATTCCTCCCCTCGCACCTTACAGACACAATTCCTCATGGCCACCCGAATGCAAACGCTTCTGAGCCCCGCTGACGACATCGCAGCACAACACTCTCACAGTGAGTCACAGTGACTAATTTCCTACCATCCTTCCATGCTGTACAAGGCCAATTGTCCAGCTGAGGTCCTGCCCACTCGTCACAGGCTCTCACCCCTTCCAGTGCCTTGCACATTGTTCGAGGTCTTCCTCTCTGTTCAGACCATCCCTCTTGCCCCTGATTACACCATTCTTCCTCTTCCCATCATCCACTGACTTCACATTTAGTAAAAAGGCAAAAGGAACACAAGAGGAACAACAATCCTGTAACACCCCAGATAGGATTAAAGACCAGTTTAAACACTCTAAGCCTCACTCGTAGCTTTGGCCACCCACGTATTACGGGCCCGAATGAGACTGTGTTTTCACGAGGTGCTCACTATCCACATATTGCAGCTATCAGGTCAGGAATACCAGACTCTGAAAATCCACCCCAACGTGGCATGTAAACCAAAACAAGAACAGCCAAAGAACCCCACTGCCTAAGCAGAGACAACGCACAAAGCAACTAAGGAGGCGCTTCCAGAGACAGTGTAAAAACTAACTGGTACGTATTCCTTCCAAGATCCAATCACACACACATACTCCCAGGAGTTTTGCTGGCTGTTAAGTGTAACTGCATTTAAAACCGCACTGTTTCAAGATCCAGATGAGAAGCAGATTGAATGTTGGCACATTACAGAAACTTTTAAAGTAAGTCAATTTTAAAATTGCAGACTGCAAGAAAGATGAAATTGGATTTAAACACAGAAAAGCAAGTATTTGCATGTAGCTCGTGCTCGAAGCACAACAGCAGCTGTAGCTGCATACACAAACTTTGCCTTCAGCTTTGCTGTATCAGTGCTTGAAAGTGCTGAAGCACACTGACAAAATGATTGTGTCCATATTTAAAGGTGTAATTTAAGAACAGAAGAGACAAATCTTTTTGCTGATGTAGACAAAAGGGTAAGATCTGCAGCCAGCATTACCAGGACAACTTCTGAAGATTACTGATTAGGCAAAAGAAATTTTTTTAAAAATCAGTGCATACTGGAGTAAGACAATATTAAAAATTACACAGAGGACTGATCTGTCTCTTCTCCCAGCAGCTCAGACAATACACAAAAGATATAACTGGATAAAAGACATCCATGAAAGCCTTACTACCACAAGCAAGTCCTAGTTTTTCCTCCAAGCATTTGTTGTTTCTCCAGACTACAAAACAGATCCAATTCTCTCAACTCCATCCCTTCATTCTAGATGTTTTAAACCCAAATATGTGATGCAAGCCCTTCACAGTAGGGCCTCAGCTAAATATCACGCATTTATTTTTCTCATAGTATTCAATGAAAAATATTTATTCTTATAGAAGGCTCCAAGATCACTTCCTGGTAGAGAAACTACAAATCACTCTAACCACCAACACGTTATACTTAGGACCTTCTGCGTAACAGGATGGCAATACCTTATACTGGATTATGCAACTCAAAGATCCACTGTCAGTCTCCTTACTGAGGGAGGAAGAGTTCAGCATTGTTCTCAGAAAACAAATAGTATTTTACCGTATTTTTTAACAGCAGAGGCTTCACTACTAAACCTATTTTTCTAATGCCACAGATCTCTACTAACCTGCTTATCTCCAAGCCTCATCTCTCCATTTTATAGGGGTGCTATGTCTTCCTCGAGTAATGTGGATGAGGGATTGTGAAACAGCTTCATAGTACAACATAGCCCTGTATCAGTCAGACAGAACTTCGGTTTTGCTGCCCTGCCGACCCCTTCCACTGCACCCGTGTGGGGCTGCAGCCGTGACGTACACCTCTTCTCCTCGGTGCGACTGTCATTCTGACACCACATTCACCATCTGCCACAAAAAGCCTACCGAAAAGCACTGCCTACCCCTTCCTGTGTTTCCTGAAAACTAACTCTTGGTGGCCACAGGAGAAGGCAGCAGCCTCATTTCAGACTTGTTTCTGCATTCTCAGATCCCCCGCTTGACGCTTCCCTCAGGAGCCGTCAGATCATGAACAGAACTGCACAGAACCACGTTTTTTTCATCCCTTCTCTCTCACAGGCAGATAGAATGAAACACCAAAGCTGTTTAGGAAGGTATTTGATAGGTAATGAGGGGAGAAGTTTAATTTCCCCTCTTTTTACTTTTTACCTTTTTAAAACACAAGCATTTGTAGACACAAGGCTCTAGTAAGACAGCAGAGCATGACAAGACAGGGAAGTACACCGCAGTTTGGAAATACAACAAATCCACCCAGGTCAGTCAGTGACCTTAGAGAAGTGATGCCACTTCCATCAGAGCAAGCCAGCAAGCGCACCAGCATCCTGGCTGCTTCTTCAGCCATGTAATTCGCCCCAGTACCTGTGCAACCACGACAGCTTCTCCACCGACCACCACGACAACACGTGCTGCAGACACACCTCCAGGTACGTGCACTGAGCACACAACCCGCGGCAGCACACACAAGGGGTGGCAGCGTGTCAGGAAAACAGGATTCCTTCAAAAAGCAGGAAAATGAAAAACCACCTCCCTGCAACGTACTTCGGTTACTCCTGCAACACTAACACTCACTTTGATGACGCCACCTGTAAAGACCTGGGACCTGCACATGTTTTCAGCTCGAGCTTGCCACCAGGTCTGGCCTCTTGCCCGACTCCTGCCCCACAGTCACTTCTGACCGAGTCAGGCTGCATCTCAGAGCCTGATCTGCCCAAGCAAAGAAAAGGAGAAGAGAAACAGGCTGCTTGCAGCATGCTGCTTGCTGTGGATGCTTATTACATAATGCTAAAAACAAAGTCCATTAGCTACCAACCACACTCGGAAATACCGCAGCACGGCCACTCTCACTCGTGGAGTCAATCCCGCAAAAGGCGCAAACTTCAGCTCATCATTGTCGCGGCCCACAAAACTCCAGCACTCAGTACAAGGGCTCACAGTCTGAAACATCGACAGGTGTTGCGTTCTTATTCAAAATATTTATTTAGCCAGATTCCTGTTATTATTCCCAGGCCAAGATGGTCTCATAAAGCGAGGCCAAGACGGGATCGGATTCAGCGAGCTGCCTGAGAGCTCTTTTAAGAGTACAAACATTACTTCAGCGTATAAGCTAAGGAAAGAATGGCACAGTTGGAGCCTCTTGACTAATTCTCCTGTTTATATCCAAATAAGAGAGCACTGTGGAACCTCGCTCTCCCCTTGGCAAGCTATGAATTTCACTTGGACGCAGCCAACTCCTATAGATGGGACCTTGTGGCTACGCCACAAAAGATTTTGGCCAGAAAGTGTACCAAGAACACAGGGTTGAAAGCAGAGCAGAAGCACAGCAAGGGTTTGTGCGCTGTTATCTTGGGGAGGGTGAAGCTCTGGCCTGGCCAAAATGGAAATAAACCTCCTTGAGCACGAGGAAGGGCCTGTTCGAGCCTTTTGTGGGACACACACATCCAGGAACCACAGCAACATCCATGTGCCCAGCAACAGCCTCACTGGAGAAAACGCAATTTATGCCCCCCCCAGCAGGCTTTGAACATGGCTGGCGATCTCCCCTCACCCAGCCCGGAGCACGGCCACCTCAGCTGGCCCCAGACCCAGCACCCCCATGCCCAGGCAGCAGGTGGGACAGCCCCGGCCCATGTCACCAGCAGCCCCTCGCGCCACACCGGGCCCGGCCCCAC